GGGGGACCAGGTCCTTTTTGCCCACCCTGGCTCCTGGAAGCTTTGTGCAAGCTGCTCCAGGAACACGTGCACAGCTGCCTGCCATGGGGCTGGGCGTGGGAGATGGGTGGCTGCTACTGTGCTGAGAGCTAAAAATGACCAAAATTAGCCACAATTTGCCATCCAAGTCTTCCCCTGGAAGTTACGAGCCTTAAACAGACTCCACATTATAAAGTAGTTAGATCAGATAGCTTCTGCCCGCGCAGTTCTTGTCCAGGTGAGGAGACAGTCCTGCTGCTTCCTGCTTTGCTGGCTGCCACTCAGGTCGTTTGTTTTCTTAGTCTTGAGTTTTGAGAGTTCTTTGTTGGATATCTGATTTGCCAGTATTTTCTCCCAGTTTGTGGTTCACCTTTTCAATCTCTTGTATTTCATAGAATGAAAGTTTTTAATTTTGATGAAGTCTAATTTATCTTTTTCGCGAATCATGCTTTTGATGTTCTCTCTAAGAACTCCTTGCCTAACTTCGGGTCACAAAGGCTTTCTGCTAGGTTTCCTTCTAACAGTTTTATAGCTTTGTAGTTTACGTTTATATCTCTGATGCATTCTGAGTGAATGTTTGCATATGTGAGGTTTAGGTGGAGATTGTTGTTTTTGCATATGGATGGCCAGTTGTTCCAATACTGTTTGTTGAAAGGACTACCCTTTCTTCATTGAATTGCCTTTGCAACTTTGTCAAAAATCAGTTGTACATATTTGAGCAGGTCTATGTGTAGGTTGAATGTTCTCTTCCGTTGATCTATGTATCTGTTCCTCTGCTGTTACCACAGTGTTGACTACTGTAAATTTACAGTAAGTCTCAAAATTATAGTGTTATTCCACCAACTGTATTCTTGTGCAAAATTGTTTTGGCTTTTCTAGTTCTGTCGTCTACCCAATTTTGTTGTCATACCAATTTTAGAAGTAGCTTCTCTATATCTACCAAAAAGAATCCTTTTGGATCTTGATCAAAATTGCATTTGGGGAGAATTGACATCTTTACTGTGGTGAGTCTTCCAATCCATGGACGCAGTGTCTCTCCCTTTGCCTAGGGCTGCATTGTTGTGTGTGTATGCTTCTCAGCATGCAGATCCTGTACATGTTCTGTTAGGTTTATACCTAAGTGTTTCCTCTTCTTTTCTCTTTCTTCTAGCCCTCCTTGTTTTCCTCCTCTTTTTCAGCTATTGTAGGTGTAGAGCTTTTTGTTTGTTTATTTACATTTGTTCTTTTCTAGTATATAAAAATACAATTGATTTTAGTGTGTGTGTGCTTCATATCCTTTAGTAACCTTGCTAAATTTACTTTTAGTTTTAGGAGGGGTTTTTTTGGTAGATTCCTTGGGATTTTCTACATATGCAATCAAGTTTTCTGCAAATAGGAACAGTTTTATTTCTTCCTTTCCAATCTGTATGCCTTTCATTTCTTTTTCTTACCTTATTGCTCTGGCTAGTACTTTAGTATGATGTCACACAGGAGTAGTTAGAGTGGATGTCCTTGTCTTGTTTCTGATCTTTCAGGGAAAGTATTTGATCTTTCACTATTAAGCATGACATTAGCTGTAGGCTTTTTGTAGATTCCGTCCTATTCGTGATATGCTGAGAGTTTTTATCATGAATGGATTTTGAATATTTCAAATGCTTTTTCTGCCTCAGTTTATTTTTCTTCATTAGACTGCTAATACAATGGATTTCATTGATTGAATTTCTAATATTGAACCAGCCTTGCATTCCCAGGACAAACCCCACTTGATCATGGTGTATCATTTATTTCGTATAGTGCTGGATTTGGTTTGCTAACATTTTGTGGAGGATTTTTGCATCTATGTTCATGAGGGATTTTGGTCTGTAGTTTCCTTTTCTTGTACTTTTTTGGTCTAGTTTGAGTATGAGGGTAATGCTGGCATCACAGAATGAGTTGGGCATTGTTCTCTCCTCTTCTGTTTTCTGGGAGAGATTGTATATAATAGGTGTTGTGTATTTCTTTAAATGTTTGATAGAATTTACCAGTGAAACCATTTGGGCCTGGAGGTTTCTTTTTTGGAAGATTGTAGCTATGAATGCAATTTCTTTAATAGTTATAGGACTGTTCAGGTCATCTCTTGCATCTTGAGTGAGTTTTGGTAGATATTGGTTTTTGAAGAATTGGCCCATTTAAGTTGCTGAATTTATGTGCATAAAGTTTTTCATAGCATTCCTTTATTAACCTTTTAATGTCTGCAGAATCTGAAGTGAGATCCTCGCCAGTCCTCATATTGATCATTTGTCTTCTATTTCTTTTTTCTTTGTTATTCTTCCTAGAAGTTTATCCATTTTATTGATCTTTTTTGAAGAACTCACTTTTGAACTCATTGAATTTTTCTATTGCTTTTCTCTTTCTAGTTTTAATTAGTTTCTGTTCTTTATTGTTTCTTTCCTTCTGCTTGCTTTTGGCTTATTTCTTAAGGTGAAACTTTAAGTTATTGATTTGAGACCTCTTCTCTTTTCTAAATATCTAGTATTTAATGATAGAAATTTCCCTCTAAGCATTAGTTTAACTGTACCCCCCAAATTTTGATACTTTGTATTTTCATTTCATTCAGTTCAAAATATTTTCTGATTTTCTGATGTCCCTTAAAACTTCCTCATTGACTCATGGATTATTTGGAAGTGTATTGTTTATTTTCCAAATGTTTGAAGATTTTTCTGTTGTATTTCTGTTATTAATTTCTAGTTTAATTTCATTACAGTCAGAAAAGATACTTGACATGATTTCAGTTCTTTTATATTTGTTAAGGTGTGTTTTATGGCCCAGAAGGCGGTCTTGCTTGGTGAATGTTCTGGTACACTTGAACAAAATGTGTATTCTGCTGGTTTGGTTGAAGGGTAAATGTCAATTAGATGAAGGTGGTTGTGTGTTGTTCAGTTCTTCTATTTCCTGGCTGGTTTTCTGAATACCAGTTCTATTATTAAATGAGGAGTGTTGAGCTTTTTGGCTATAATTTTTTTGTCCATTTCTGATTTCAGTTTCTTCATGTATTTTGAAAATCCGTTGCTTGGCGAAAACACATGTATAATTGTCATGTCTTCTTGGTGAATTGACCCTTTTATCATCATGTAATGCTGCTGGTAACGTTCTTTGCTCTTAAGTTTATTTTGTGTAGTATCAATATAGCTACTTCAATCTTTTTGGATTGATATTTGCATGGTATTATTACATTCCTTTGCTTCTAACCTACCCACATAATTGTATTTGAAGTGAGTTACTTATAGACAGCATATAGTTAGAGCATGTGTGTTTTTAATCCAGTCTGACACTCTGTCCTTTAATTTGCATGTTTAGAGCATTTACATTTAGTGTGATTGTTGATGTGCTTGAATTTAAGCCTGCATTGGCTCTCAGTTTTCTGTTTGTCCCTCAGTTTCTCATTGCTCAGCTTCCTTTTACTGCCCTCTTTGGGGTATTTTTTTAGTATTCCATTTTAATCTATCTGTTCAGTTTTTGACCATATGTCTTTGTATAGTTTTTTAGTAGTTGTCCTAGGGACTACAGTGTACATACTTCAATTTTTGAAACCTACTTAGAATCAACATTTTAACACTTCCAGAAGAACATATAACTTCTACCACTGCCAAAGAAAAAGATATTCAATGACACTTGTTAAAGTTGGTGAAGGAGACTTTGTTGAGGACTGCTGGCATAGGTATAGGGACCCCTGCAGTGGGGTTACAGTGGGGGAGACAGGTTGAGCTCAGCTCCAAACACAGCGTGGACAAATGGGAATTTATGCCAAGAAGCAGGGCGGGGTCAGTGTATGGAAAATTGCTAGGAGGAAACATCGGGGGGAGGGGGATTCTGGCTAAATGGACCTAACAGGCTGCTTACTGAAGGCAGGCCAGGTGGGCAGACATCCCCTGGGGGATGGTGGGGGGTGAGGAACCCCATCAGATATGAGGGTGACCAGATAGCAGGGTGGGGGTCTCTTGCTAAACCGACGTAGCAGGGTTCTTGCTAAAACTGGATTTTGCAAGGAAGGACACAGAAGGGCCTCAGAGGAGGTTCAGGACCTGGCTGCAGTCTGGTTGAGCAAAGAATCTTTGTCACCACTGTCATGGTCACTTGGCCCTCTCCCTGTCATGTGTGGTTGTCATATGTAACATATGCATATATCATAAACTCCATTAGACACTGTTATAATGTTTGGTTTCAGCAGGCAAAAATGTTTTAAAGAACTCATGAGGAAAAGGAGAGTCAGTTTAATTCACCCACATGTTTACCAATTCTGTTGCTTTTCCTTTATTTCTGGTCTCCAGGTTTCCTTCTGGTATCATTTCTCTTCTGTTGGAAGACCACTCTGTAATCATTCTTTTAGACCAGATCTGCTGGCAACAGATAGAGAAGCATGGACATTCCCAGCTCCCCATGACCACGTGAATCCCCAGGTGTCGCTCTCCCCCCGGCACTTGAGTCTCCTCGTGGAGCCCTCCTCTCTTGGCTGGCCACTCTGTCAGCTTCCTTTTCACCAAGCAAAGTGACCCACTCCAGAAGGCCCTGCAGCAGGTGCTGCCAACTCCGAGCTCCTCAGTAGCCACAGGTGGGGTGTGAGCAGCTGCCCACCTCTCACATTCCATGATTTGTCCAAGAAATGCCTTGAAGATGGAGTTTCATGGGGTGCCAGGAGCATGGCTTTTAGAAGCGGGCAGACAGGTTGAATGCAGCCCAGCCCTGAGCTCCAAGACCTGGCCCATTACTCATGTCTTCGAATCTACAGGGCGGGGCTGTTTTAGGATGAAGAGATGACACGCATCTCCTGCCTGGAATAGGGCAGGACAGGGAGCAGCTCAGCGTGCCATGGTGGAGTTCTATGTTGAAAGCAATCATTTCCAACAAAACGTCTAATTTCAGAAGAGTGTGATCCTCAGGATGGGTGGGGGCACAAGGAAGCCAGTTGGAGACCCTGCCCTGGGAGGTGTGTGCTCTGACGTGCACGCTTTTCTTCCACGCCACAGGTGACCCCAGGGTTCAAGGAGAAGGAAGGTGAGCTCTTGGTCAGGGGCCCCTCCGTGTTCCGGGAATACTGGGACAAACCAGAAGAAACGAAAAATGCATTCACCTCGGATGGCTGGTTCAAAACAGGTAGGAGAGAGGGGCCCCAAGCGGGAGGGGAGGAGCGTGACTCGTGCACCATGGGTTGTCACCGTGCCTGGACCCCCAGAATCTTCTGTCGAGGGCAGAGACACAGTGGGATGGGGGTACACTTCGTGTCTCACAGCTGCACCCCCCACCCAGTGCCCTGGCCCCCGCTGGCCCCTAGAAGGAAGCTCCTGAGACCATGACCCTAAGGAGCGTCAGCAGCCCTGCATCTGGTGGCCCCGCTGCCCATCGTGGGTCAGGACTTCCCCCTCCCAAGTGACTGCTGCACTCTGCATCAGACACCCCCCTCACACCTCCCACCTCACCCTTAGCCCACCTTCCCCTCCCCCACTCAGGACCAGAGTTGTTGGGATAGAACGTAGTTTATTTGTGGTTTGGGTCACTCGTTTACCATATTCCCTCGCTGAAGTCTGCCCAGGGCCCTGTGCATGGGCAGGCAGAGGGGCCCCCACGTTGGTGTCCTCTCACCCAGACAGGCAGCCAGAGCTAGCTCTGAGGAGCCCCCAGTCCCCTGACACTCATCTCCTCCATCCCCCACCCCAGAGCCCATGTCCCCCATCACATCCATCCCTCTTGTCCCCTCATCCCCCCACCCCCATCCTCCTGACCCCTATCTCCTACATCCCCTCATCTCCCTGGCCCCTCATCCCCCTGTTCCCCCTTCCTCTCCATCCCCCATCCCTCTGTCCTGCCACCCCCCTGTTCCCCTGTCCCCTGGTCTCCTTAGCCCCTTGTCCCCTCATCCACCTGACCCCCACCTCCTCCATCCCCCATGCCCCCATCCATCGGTACCCCCTGACCTCCTGGCCCCTTTGGCCCCTATCTCCCCACCTGCATGGTCCCAGGGGTCCTGCTGAAGTGAACGATGTTGGGAATGTTGAGGTTTGCAGCTACGTTGACTCACTGGTGTGCATGTTCACCACTGGAATGTCAGAGCCGAACATCAGATGGTGGGATTCTGGGTGGTTTCTCCTTTTCTTTTTGCCTGTCTATATTTCTAACACTTTTGTGCTGACATGCATTATTTCATAATAATCTTAAGGCAATATTTTCCAAAAAGAAAGGCCTGTTTTCACAGGTCATCACATGTGGCCACATAATCAGAAATGTACCCTATTCTCTGTTCCTCTGTGGGGAGCAGAGTGACGGAGAAGGGAGGCAGCTTGCAGATGGCGCACGACTGTGAGGAGTTGCTGTGCGCACCTGAGAGGGAGAGAAGATGTTAGGAATGGAGTGGTCAGTGGCTGTGGCCTTAGGCTGGTGACCCCCATGGTGTGCTGCTTGGGGCTGACATTCACACACATGTCGTCTTACTGGGCTCAGGTCCGCGTAGGTCTGTATGGGCAGGATCACATGTCCACTCTCCAGTTGGCCTCCATCGTGGGCCTGAGGTCACCGAGTGACAGAGCGGGGGTTCATGTAGACAATCCGGCAGTCTCGGGGTGCTGTGTGGGCCCATCAAGTGGGTGTTCGGGGTGAAGGGGCAGATGGAAGGTCCTCCTGGGGGACGTGGAGGGGCCCCTTCCTGCCCCTCCCCTGGCAGACAGCACTAGGGCCTGCTGGTCCCGGCCAGTCTCACGTCCACCGTGTGGTCCCACAGCCACCCATGCCTTTCTCTCTCACGTGGCCTTGAAAACACATGTCCCAGGAGCTGGAGTTGGACATATCCAGTCCCCCTGGTCCCTCCATGCTGGGCAGAGAGAGCAGGTGTGTGGAGGGTTCCAAAGAGCTTGCACAGTGGACGTGTGTCAGCCCCAGAGCAGAGGCCAGTGCCCCAGGAACCCTGGCAGGGCCATCCAGGGGGCTGGTCTGCAGAGGGCACAGAGGTTGGGGACCCAGGAGCCCAGGTCACCTGGTTGGGGCCCTCCTGTCTCTGTCTGTAATGTGGTCACCATGTTAACACACACCTGCCTGTTTACCTTCTATCAGCATCTGCATTAATACAAGCAAGCTGGTGGGAATAAACCTCTCTCTATTATTGTCTTTCAAATGCATATTTAGGAAATGTTACTTCTGAACTAATCTCTTTTTCGTGCATCCCCCCCGTAGCCCCTGAACAGCCCCAACCTGGAAGCCTGGCTTGCTCTGTGGCCATCTCCTTTTATTTTTAAATTCAGCTAAAAAGCTGCAGATTTTTTTTCTTTAAAAGCACAGGAACCAAAAGCCCGTGGATTTTGCAGCTAGAGGGTTCACTGGGTGCTGGGTGGCAGCAGTGCAAAACTTGGGGCAGTCAGTGTTCAAACATTTCAGTCACCACCCTGATGAATATTCCAGTCGGAAAGGAATAGCATGCATTAATTATTGTAAAGAGATGTCTTTAGGAGAAAATGATTTTGAAATTCAGTTTAATTTCATTGTAATGCGCTGCGAACAGGAAGGGAGTATGTGTGTTTAATTGGCTCTCCGGGGTAAGGCCTGGAAGCCGCATGCCTTTGTCACAGGCCATTAGTGATACAGACTGCATAATGAGCGAGCGCAATCAGCTCACAGCTGCTGGCTCCTACGGGGAAAGCATGATATTAAATAGAAATCAGGATAAATTAAACTTAACCCTTTCCCTTGCCAGCCCCTCCTGCTACGCGGATTCTGGCAGGAGCTGGAGAGCCGCTGCCGCGTGGAAGGGCCGTTGGCCAGCTCCTTCTCAGTGGCCTCCCCATGTCTAGATGAAAGGGGAGAGGTCCTACTTCGATTCCAGCCACTCCCACCCTCCCCGCCCTGTGTGCATCTGCCTCCTTCCCCTCAGCCCGGTTTCCCAATGGGCAGGGAGCTTCTTGCAAGCCCCCAGGGGTCATAGCTGCCACTCAGGGAGGAAGTCAAACGTCACCCCCAGACCCTCCCCCGACAGCTGCACTGACCTCTCCAGACTCTCTTGAGTTCCACCTGAGCACCACCACGCCCAAAAAGAAGCTGTGAACACACACACAGGCTCAGGGCTGGCCCAGGCTGGGGAGATGGGGCGTCCTCAGGCTATACATTGACCCTGCTGTCGGAGCCAGGGACACAGGCCGGAGACGAGGACACAGGACAGAGAGGAGAACACAGGACCAATGTGAAGACACAGAGGTGAGGACCTGGACATGAGGACACAGGACAGAGAAGGGACACACAGCTGAGGACGGGGGGTGGAGATGAGGACACATTGACCAGAACACAGGACGGAGATGAGGACATGGACATGGGGTTGCAGGATGGACATGAGGACATGGGGACAGAGCCAGCGAACTGCCCTCTCAACGCTTTCCCTTGAGCAGCTTTGTCCTTGTAAAGAGACTGATAACGGAACTTGAGGAAACAAAAACGTCCTCTGACTGACTTCAAAGACCACTCCCTCGTGCACTGTTCAACGGTCAGGGCGACGCGGTGGACTGTATGTGCCTCTCACAAGGAAAGACACGGGAGGAGAGACTTAGCTAACCGGGAGAAAGAGCCATAAGGAAACCCACCAGGGCGGCACCAGGCCTCTGGGGGCGATGCCTCCTTTTCTTCTACAGTCAGCACATGATATTATCATCAGAGACAGTCAAGGATATTTATTTAAGAAAGGAAAATGAGTCACAGCAGGGCAGCAGGGGTGAACCCTGACAGGGATGGGCGCAGAGATGTCCTCGAGGCCGGCGGCCCGAGGTTGGCAGCCTGAGGGATTGTGGGAGTGCTGAGAAGTCATAGTGTGCTCGCACCACTCACTGGGCCCGGGCAACCCAGGAGGGAAAACGAGCTGCAAAACACAGACAACATGTCACTTCCTCAGTGGGATGGAAGAGAGAATTACGGAAACAGAGACTGACCCCTCGTCACCAGGTTGGCACAGACCCTCCATAAGCTGACCTTCAGAGCCTTGACCAGGTTCTGTCCCACTCAGTGGAGCTGTATGTCGAGTGTTTCCAGGGATCGACGCAAGGACATCATCGGGGAGGTCCAGACAGTGCACAGGGACATCTGTCACAGCGTTCTTTGTGAGACGAGACCCTAGAGTCACTTATCCAGTGATGGGGCGGGGGCCTACTGTGACGTGTCCAAACAGCGGAGTATGTGAGGCCTTTAGAAGCCAGGTTGTGGAGAGCAGTGACACAAGGGAACCCCTGCCGGTGCGTGTCATCCTGTGCGTGGGTGGGTGTGTCACACGTCTGTGCATGCGTGTCCTGTGTGGGTGCGTGTTGGGTCTGTGTGCTGAGCACACAGCGCTGCCTGTTGTCATCTCTGCGTGATTTCTGTTTCTTCCTTTGTTTTCTCTCTCCCAGTGTTTCCGTAGGAAGCTTTTTCAGTCTTGTAAACACAGATGAGTGTAAGTTGTGTTTAAGCTTTGCACTGACGTTGAGCCCTCCTCGTGTGCAGAAGGCCTCAGGGTGGCCCTCAGGCGTACTGTTGGCTCCGCTCACTTCCCGCCAGGTGCCGCACACTGCGCTGTGCTGCTCTGAGTTCTCCCATCTCCGACGAGAGCTCTGCTGTGACCGTAAATCATAGTCAGGAGGTCGGCAGAGTGTAGAGATGCACGGACCCATGTCGCATGTCAGTGAGTGTGGCAGCTCGTGTCCCAGGCTGTTGACACCCTCCACGTGAGTCCAGCTGACTGAGCCAACTGGCTCCTAAGTGATCCTCGTTCCTCCCGCAAGGCAGGGTCACTGTGAAGGTTGCGTTGGGTGACAGGTCCCTCCAAGGACACTCGGTGTTGGGCTGTTCAGTCCACCCTGTCCAGCAGCCACCCTGGTGTTTCCCTGACTACAGGAGGCCGACACCCCGGTGGTGTGACTCCGCGCAGACATCCCCTGCTGTGGCGCGGTCCCTTGGTTGGTGGTGCCTTCTGTGTGTGGAGGGTTTGGGTTGTGTTGCAGTCCTGACTGGCGTCGTCTCCTGTGTGTGTGTTTTATTTTTCACATGACTTAAAAATCCTTTGTTCCCCAGTGGTCAGAAAGGTGTTCTCCTGTGTTTGCTTCTGAACCTTGTCTAGCTCAGCTTACGCTAAGTTAAGTCTTGGCTCCACCTGG